GCGAAGGAGGCACGAGGGCTGGGATACTGCCAGGTTGCCCAAGCCTAGACAGGGGAAGTCGAGAGGCAGCGGGTGGGTTCGAACCACGGACCTTCCGGTTAGTCAATTCGCGCTGTAACCACTTGGGCCACCTCGCCTCAAGTAGCACGTTCCAGACAAATTACGTAACCACTTGGGCCACCTCGCCTCAAGTAGCACGTTCCACTCCGACAAATTACATTTGATTACATTTGCGTAGAAATACTATTCAACGTCTGACCACCATCGCACTTACATTGACAGAAATACCACTGTAGGAAAACTTTTTAAATGTCATTTTTCCAATAAAACTTCGTAATGAAAACAGGAAGAGAAGAAAAGTGATCTCGTTCAGTTTGCCGCTTGGGCACGTGAATTTTCAATGCTTCTGTTCATGCCTACAAACGATCTAACCTGGTATGGTACTCTTGAGAGAACAAAAACAAAACAGAACCGGCTTTGTTTCAGGGGGGTTGCTAAACGGTGACCATCCAGTCGGTCCCAAACACTTCCCATTGATTGAGAACCGGCTCTGTTTTAGAAGTAAAGATCAGTATTTATGTTGACAAAACCGTGGAACTAAACACTACATGCGTCATCAAGTCATAAAACAACCTGTGGAATTCAAAATACTTTTCTGTGTTAATTGTGGTTGAAATTAGAACGTGAAGGAATGGGACGAATGGAATGTTGATCCGTGAGTTGACCTTTTGAAAAGAAGCGGCGCAATGGATATCCAGACGGATCAGAATCCACACCGTTTGGTTACACACTGGAGTTGATTTGTCGAAACGTTTAGTGTCCAACGCGTCATGTATTGGATGAACCAGAATTCTGATTCTGTAAAAATAACAGCTGGGATCAAGGGCACTGATTGCATGGTGAGGGGTTTAGACATGGGTGTTGGACGGATATTGGGCTAGGAATGGAAACGGGGCAAAGAAGTCGTAATACAGCGAGTAGGTACGTTTTTCAGGACTTAGCAGCTGCTCGTAGTGTTCCAATAGAGAGGTTACCCTCCTGATACTCCGGATGCTCGATCGTCGAAGCCGCGCGAATTAGTTCGCACACAGAAAGGATTGAGTCTTGTTAACCAGCCGGTGCGGAGTATGAATGGCCATAAGTTATTATTTATTTTGTATACAAATTACATGGTAGAGAATCGATGGTGACTGCACTCTTGGCTACCCACTGATCATACTTAGCTAGCCAGTTGCTATAACTTGTTCAGATTTCATTGCCAGATTGGATGAGAGTTAACCACATCTCTGGTGTTCCGAATTCTTTAGGAACTCTGGGTTCCTTCATCAGTTTATCTAGCGGTACAAATGAATGCCTTAAGCATGAGGCAACCATTTCCCAATGTTCATATGCAGGTTGGATTTCATCCCAAACTGTGTTTACAGCATCAGCTTTTAGGGCTTTCAATTGTCCATTCGATTACTGTCAGAAAATGGTTATTAGACTGGTTAAAGCATGAACAATGGGTCAGGCACCTAATGATTCGATTTCCTTTGTTGTAAACAGGTAAGAATTATGTGGTTCTCTGAAGATACCATTAAGTAGTTCTCATTTCTCTGTTCTTGTGAAGACTACATGCACATCTGTTTAATTGTCACTCCGATATATGTGCAAAAAATAAATGAGAAATCACCCAAAATTGTCATCTTTCTGAGATTTTATGTGATTTAGCACAATCGGAAATGGATAGCGTAGAGATTCAAAAAAGCCATGATCGTTTTTGTAAGGTAATGGCAGAGGGAATGTCCCGAAAGGCCTAAGAACTTTTAGACAACATGGTTCGGTACTGGAAATCACCGTGAACAGCAATGAATTTCAGTATGTTTTAGTGTGTATATCGATTAGAATGAACAGATAAATTCGAAGTGCATCCATCAAGCTAGGGAAAACAAGAACAGTCGGATGGACAGTGGAATAATTCGTTTTGACAGTTGTAGGCTAGATTCTGGACTTTTAGTAATGTAACGAAAAGTGGGATAGAGGAAATGAAAAAAGGCCAACCTCACTGCCCTTGCCGACCAAAACGTCGCGAAACCTGTGTGAAAATAGTTCGAGGAAACTTAAGTAGCGTCAAGCACTCCAAGGTAAAGTGTGACCCAAGAATGCTCCTTATTAGCCACCAGTCCCCTTTTAGGTTGCTCCATGAAACCTTTACAAGATTTCAGATAACCTTTCCATTCGCCTTCTCGTTTCGTGAGATTTTCGGTGTTTCAGAGGCCGCGTAAGGTCACTTGTCAAAAGTAGAACCTTTCCGAAAATGCGTGACATCAAGCAAGTTACGAGGTGAAGTTCACGCAGTGCACTATTTTCTTGTTATCCTTTTTGGAAAGAAACAGGTTAGGAGAAACCTTCACATTTCAAAGTAAAAGTATGCCTATTGACTTGTCGTGCACACAGCTAAGGTGTGGAGTGGTAGGTAAATCTCGTTAACCATATGAGTAATACCTTATGTTATTTCGCATTTCAGTTGTCGCTTGCCTAATCAATCGAATGGGTCGTCATCGAACCACGATAGGAGTAGATGGAGCCTTTTTCCGCTTCAGCTCTATGTTTCCTGCTATTCTGGTGGAAACTGTAACTAGATTAATTCCGTATTCTTATACTGTGAGTTTCGTTGCACACAAAACATGTTTGAATCTATTCCCTTTTTGTGGGTTCCACTGAGTACCAGACGATATTTTACACAATACCATTGCTGTCCATGGGCACTGATATTTAGTTCGACTGGACAGGGATGTAAGTCAGAATGTGGCCGTCCAATTCTCCTGAATCGCGCTTTCCGTAGGAGAACCAATATTCCAAGTTTTTTCTCGATCATTTATTGCGTTTGCCGTCTAAACTGTCTTATGAGTAGGACGTAGAAAGAAAGAAGTTGTTCACCCTCTCGGTGTCCAAGTGCCATACGAGCCGGAGGTTGCATGAGGGCTGGGATACTGCTAGGCTGCCCGAGCCTAGACAGGGGAGGTCGAAAGGCAGAGGTCGGGTTCGAACCACGGACCTTCCGGTTAGTCAATTCGCGCTCTAACCACTCGGGCCACCTCGCCTCAATTAGTACGTACCACTCCGAAAAATTGCATTTGATTACATTTGCGTAGAATTACTATTCAACGTCTGACCACAATCGCACTTACGCTGACAGGAATATCACTGTAGGAAAACTGTTTTTAAATGTCATTTTTCCAATAAAACTTCGTAATGAAAACAGGAAGAGAAGAAAAGTGATCTCGTTCAGTTTGCCGCTTGGGCACGTGAATTTTCAATGCTTCTGTTCATGCCTAAACTATTCCATTTTCCAGGTATTTTTACTTACTTACCTAATAAACTTATTGGATTTGTGGTCGAATTTGATTTTTTGTTCACAAAAAGTCTGAAATTATGCAGAAAATAATGCTATGTGCTATTCAGACGAATCCAATTCAAACTAAACGCGAAAGCCGGCGCATCCTTCATACTCAACACAGCTAAGGTGTGGAGTGGTAGGTAAATCTCGTTAACCATATGAGTAATACCTTATGTTATTTCGCATTTCAGTTGTCGCTTGCCTAATCAATCGAATGGGTCGTCATCGAACCACGATAGGAGTAGATGGAGCCTTTTTCCGCTTCAGCTCTATGTTTCCTGCTATTCTGGTGGAAACTGTAACTAGATTAATTCCGTATTCTTATACTGTGAGTTTCGTTGCACACAAAACATGTTTGAATCTATTCCCTTTTTGTGGGTTCCACTGAGTACCAGACGATATTTTACACAATACCATTGCTGTCCATGGGCACTGATATTTAGTTCGACTGGACAGGGATGTAAGTCAGAATGTGGCCGTCCAATTCTCCTGAATCGCGCTTTCCGTAGGAGAACCAATATTCCAAGTTTTTTCTCGATCATTTATTGCGTTTGCCGTCTAAACTGTCTTATGAGTAGGACGTAGAAAGAAAGAAGTTGTTCACCCTCTCGGTGTCCAAGTGCCATACGAGCCGGAGGTTGCATGAGGGCTGGGATACTGCTAGGCTGCCCGAGCCTAGACAGGGGAGGTCGAAAGGCAGAGGTCGGGTTCGAACCACGGACCTTCCGGTTAGTCAATTCGCGCTGTAACCACTTGGGCCACCTCGCCTCAAGTAGCACGTTCCACTCCGACAAATTACATTTGATTACATTTGCGTAGAAATACTATTCAACGTCTGACCACCATCGCACTTACATTGACAGAAATACCACTGTAGGAAAACTTTTTAAATGTCATTTTTCCAATAAAACTTCGTATTGAAAACAGGAAGAGAAGAAAAGTGATCTCGTTCAGTTTGCCGCTTGGGCACGTGAATTTTCAATGCTTCTGTTCATGCCTAAACTATTCCATTTTCCAGGTATTTTTACTTACTTACCTAATAAACTTATTGGATTTGTGGTCGAATTTGATTTTTTGTTCACAAAAAGTCTGAAATTATGCAGAAAATAATGCTATGTGCTATTCAGACGAATCCAATTCAAACTAAACGCGAAAGCCGGCGCATCCTTCATACTCAAACCTTACTGAACCGTATACGTAGTTTTCATAATGTCATGCACAAATGTTCGCCCTTACTTCCCCCATGCATTCACGGTTCTTCTGTCAATTGACGGTATCAAAAAACTCATGTCGGCTGAGTTCATTTATTGTGACAAACCCAACATCCCTTTCCAGGAAGTTGCTCTTCTTATACGTGAAACGGACAGTCTGATAGTTCAAATTTATTGGTGGAATACAGGGTGTTTTGCTCAGATGCATCAGTTTTCCTGCCTGTTGCTCACAGAGAACTGGATGATTTGACGCTAATTGCCCGGATGTGAAACTGGATCAGGAGTTTTCCGTCTTACCGAACAACATGATGTTCATACACTGCAGAAAAGTAATATTCACTGGCATGCTTCTCCTTTGAAGTGAATTTCTTTCTTCCTGAACATACTTTATCAAGTGCGATCTCGGCTATGCATATTGTTCATACCACCCCTTATTTTATCATTAAACATTATATTCTCCCATTTATGGTTCCAAATAGTAGGGTAGTATCCCAGGGGACTGTTCCCTTTTCTATGCTCCTTCCGGGAAGAAATTTGCTGGGTTTGCTTGGTACTACAGTTTCACAGTTAACGGGATCGTTCTAAATTTAAAATAGCTGTTTTTTGGTGATCTATGGTTTTCATCAAATTCCAATTAGCATCGTCGGTTTCCCAAAACAAACTCTCAGCTGTAACACCTTGCTGTGTCAAGCTGCCATGCCACCCGAAAGAAGCACGAGGGCTGGGATACTGTCAGGTTGCTCAAGCCAGGACAGGATAAGTCGAGAGTCAGAGGTCGGGTTCGGACCATGGACCTTCCGGTCAGTAAATTCGCGCTCTAAACACTTGAGCCATCTTGCCCCGGCTTCCCAAAGGATGATATCTCGAATATTCTACTTGGATTTCATTTGTACTTTGTGGAATTTTGTGCACCATATCACAAACAAAATTTTTTGCGGTTAGTCAGACCAACTGTACGGGATTTGAGAGCAAAACCAACCGTGCTCCACAGTGTCCTGAGGGCCTATCCTAGAATGCATGCCACGTCGGTTTCATACAGACTCATTAACATCTTCAAGTGATAATTTGCTCAAACTATAATACAATGCAAAAAAATATAAGCCCACCAGACTTTTTAAGTAAGTGGTTTATTTTTTGAACACCAACGGTTGAGTCACATAAAGACCGTGTGAAGATCGGTGGCGATATGAAAAGTACGTCGGTATTTTTACGAAATAAGTAAAGATGAAAATCGAAGAACATTAGCGTGAAATAATCATTGGGTAGTCGACACTCCTTAGATTATGACGGGTGCCAACTTTCTTTGAATTACTGTAGAAAATGTTTGCTTAATGTAGCCTAAACTTCTGAGTGAAAATCACGTCACGGAACCTTTATAGCCTATTTTCTCCCCAGAGGACTACTGATGTGCCCATTAGATAATTTGTTTTATCTCCTTGTTCTTTCAGTTCAAGCTGAAGCTGATTGACGATGGGTCGGGCAAAGGAGCTGCCGCCATCATCAATGCAACCAAGGCCGTCGTTCTTCCAGCGCCACGTTTCACAGTATTCAGATTCTAAGGCGCCCTGTTTGAGGAATATTACTTTGTCTTTGTGAAAAATGGTGCACAGCTGAACAAGAAAAATACACGTTCCATAGTGATATTGTATTTTTAACAGCCAATGACGTACCACTCATTCTTCTTCGACAATCTCATCATCACTTAGAGCACTAAACCAGCAATGCTAGGAAGCTTCTCCGTTGTACGACCATGAAGAAATAAAACCGTATCAAATAGTGCAAGGCGAAAGGAAGAATAGAGACCGCGATAGGGGTCAGGAACAATGCGTCCGCAACTTTAAAAAGCATTGAAGCGAACACGTCCAAACGTTAAGTTGGACTGAGGCGCTATCAGCAGGATAAACCCGGGAGCCTCCGGGGACCTCACCCAACGTAAGCTTAACTAGAAAGTTTGTAGCCGCTGTCATTTCATGATTAACGGTTTGAAATGGGAAACGAGGGTTTGTTTGGGATTCGACAGTTGGGCCTACGTAGTACGCTTCTTAGCTACTTTAGCACGGTGGGTTTTATTTGCTTCCCCGAAGATTTTGACTGGTCATGAGCAGCATGCTTACACCTCATTTCGTCGTGTAATTCACTATTTCACACTTCACTTGTTTCCGAAGGTGAATATACACCAAATGACAACTAAAACGCATAATTTTATTAACTTGAAAAAAACGCACTCTTGACAAACGAATAAGCCCCAGTTTAAGTTGGCGTAAGCCAAATAGCTGCTGGGAACTTCATTACTTCAACAGTTTAACCAGGGTACGGAGCTCTGTACTTCAAATCAGTCAAGCACTTCTGAAAGACGCCTTTCCTGTGCTGATATAATCAGGTGAAATTATTAGTTCTACCACTGCGAGCGATAACCTTACCTGACAGTTGCTTTATAAAGGGAAAACAAAGGGCGCCACTGGAGATTTAATCATAATGTCTACTGAGATAGTACGGACAAGATTATCGATGCCGGTGCTGACATCCTAGGAGAAAAACGGTTCCTTTGTTGATTGTAGACTCTGGTAAGGTAGAGTATCTAATTCTGGGTACGAATGGTAATGGTACGAGTCCGTGACATCCCGAGCATTTCGGCCAGATGGAATTGCCTGGAGCACTCACTCAGCTTGCTTCAATACTTACCTTTGTAAGGTTATTTTTTATCCATAGCATGATTACTTGTCACGGTCCAAACTGGGCTTGAAACAAGATGAATGGGTTTTTGAAGGCAACTGCACATGCTACCTCTGAAAGGAAGAAGACCTTCGCTGCGGAGTTACTTATTAGAAAATGCCAACTGACCGGTTACAGACCACTGGACAGGGATGCAATCCTCTAATTTGCATCTTATTCATAAAAACTGGACATCCATCTCCTGAACGCGTCTGCTTGAACTTTCCTGGAGATTCATTGACTTCAATCTTCCTCGCTCAAATCCAAGCAAATGTTACAAGGCGAATCCACAAATTCCGCAAGGGATCTCCCTTTTCAAAAGACGCAAAGCGAAATTCCACGAACAACACATAATACTCGCGTGCCTCTCCATCAGTAGTATCACCGCAGTATCACCTCTACGAAATCCTGGAATCCTATTTAGGGATCTAAGCGGTTCTGCGCTAAATGACTCCATTCATGAGATAGCGACCACTAGTGCCATTAACAAATCAAGCCACAAATGACCGAGCCTTCTGTTAGCGTGAAGAAGGCAGATTTTGTCCAAAACCGAAT